AATCTGAGTAAAAGACAAAACAATTTCAGCAAATATAATTTATGCTTACAAGGTAGTTACTACTGTTAATTATTTTTCTTTAAATTCATCCACAAAGTTCTTTCCATTTCAGAAATACTCCTTAAAGACGTTTTTGTATTGTTTGTTTGTTTTAAGTTAAGCACAAAGCTACACAATGGACTATCTGTGCTCTGCCCACCACGGGTATCGAAACCCGGATTCTAGCGTTATAAGTCCGCAGACATACCGCTGTGCTCCTGGGGGGCAAGTTTTTGTAAGATAAAGCAATTGTTTTGAGTTGACCTTAATTATTTGTATTATAAGAACTAATAAAGCTTTTGATTTCATTTTTATGCTTGTCTTAAATAGTGCTTTTTCTTATACTTCGGGATATGACTTCATTTAATTAATCCTATTTTTCTACTTGTAGCAGTATTAAAATTTAATCAAGTTTATTGCTCCTAACAGGAGTGATATTCAGTTGTTGAACAATGATGTTGAAAGACGTTGTTATGCTTGAGCATGCATAAATCCCATAAGTCATGGTCGTAACAACTGATTTAAACCAGAGTATTTCTTATGGCGCCATCTTTAACGTTCAAATGTATTGTTTCTCTCTCTCTCTCTCTACTAAGCCACAGTAAACGTAACACAACAGCCACAAGAACAAAACAGTCAAAAACAAACATCAAACCCAATCATTGAAGCTGTGAAACAACAACATTTTATGACTTTACTACACAATATCAAACTTCCAAGAAGACTGCCCCACACTAATCATAAACACACAGTACTTCGCACCTCAAATTCCATACATAATACAACAGTTCACGAGCTCTACAACACACAAAACACAACAATATAAGAAAGAATGGAAGTATGCACAATAAACACAACAAAAATTTAATAAAATACATGCGCATGGCCCTGAGAAGTAGATCAAATAATAAATTAGCAAACAACTATGAAAACACAAAATACAATAGTCAACACGTCAAATCAATAAGAAGAATACAAATTACAATAGCACAGGAGGGAGGAAGAGGTCAATTTGAACCCGACCCTCCCAGGTCTACAAGACCTAAATCCCAACACCTGGAACAGTCGCTCTAGTAACTTAAAAATCCAATTTATCGATTGAGGCGCTGTATCAAATTTGAGATAATATACAATAAGTTTGCTTTAAAATAAACAGAGACAAAATGCGATAATTTCTTGTCACAGATGAGTTTGGCTATGTTTATCTATTTATCATAAAGGCTTGGTCTAAACGACTTTGGACATTGTTCTGTTAGCTTAGGTTGATTATAGCTTTAAGATCTCTCAGTGCTTGCGTTTAATGAGAAACTTAACTGTAATTTAGAATTTCATTGTTACCCGCGTTTAAAGTTGTGATTTAAACGCTGCACGCTATCTTTCAAAATTATCTGATAATGTTGTTTTTAACGAAAGCAATTATACTTGTTTAAAATGTTATATATCGACCTCATTTCTTTCAAAAATTTCTGATATTGTTGTTTTTAACCAAGTCAACATTCTATAATTGTTATAACAATTCATATATCGACCTCATTTCTTTCAAAAATTTCTGATATTGTTGTTTTTAACCAAGTCAACATTCTATAATTGTTATAACAATTCATATATTGAGCTAAATTTTTCAAAATTTTCTGATATTGTTGTTTTTAACCAAGTCAACATTCTATAATTGTTATAACAATTCATATATTGAGCTAAATTTTTAAAAAATTTCTGATATTGTTTTTTTTAATCAAGGTGTTGTTTATTGTTATCAAAAATTAAATTTGTTGAGTTTCTTCATCTTTCACAAATTTCTACTCTTGTTGTTTTTATTCAAGACAACATTATAAGTCTTAACAAAATTTAATTTATTGAACTTGTTTTACTTAAAACAAAGTTCACCATCATCAGCTTCCTCCTTTGTGATTTTTTGTCTGACAGAAATTCATAATTAGAATATAAAAAATAAGCGGCGGCTATATAGTAAACGGAAACTATTGGTCAGCCATTATTCCATATTTGCGTGTTTACAGTGTTATATATTCATATCCGACCTAAAGGGATTATAATAAAAAAAAAAAGTTGAAATAACCTTTACTCATTAGAGTTGATTCATGCATTAAGTTAGTGTTTTTTTTCCTTGTTCGTAAATTAAATAATAAGATAAACTGGATGATAATATTTATTATGGTAATTTTACTGCTCTTGATAAATGATCACAAATATGATCGTTTTTTGTTACTAACAGATCAATTATTATGCAAGAGTTTTAAAATAAAGGTGTTTTTTATTCATGGCGTGGACTACTGAGCATTAAAAAATACGTAACTCAAAAAATTCACAAACAATTACATTGTAGTATTAGCAGTCTAGAAGTATTCTGATATTTAGTAATACGTTTTTACAGCATATGATATTGTGGTTTAATGATCTAGAAATTTTAATTATTCCGTGTGTTGTCCTTTTTAATTTTGTCGTTTTCTTTTATTTTTTAAAGATGTATCTAAACACTCGAAATCACTGCTTACTTTAGTTAAAACTCATAACTGAATGTTACTCGTTGTCTCTATGTTTGTCTATCGGAGATCAAAATCAATTTGTCCCAGATCAGCGGTAACTATACGGATTTTTGAAGATAAAATCCGGAGTTCGATTTCCCATGGTGGATATAGCGCAAATAGCGTGTTGTGTAGCTTTGTGCGAAAACAAAACAAAAAAAACTAATGTTAATTTCCCTTAATTAGTTCACAGGAGATAAAGGTTTAACTTTATTGTCCACGATCTCTCAAAAACAAATAAAATAATTTCTGAAGAAAATAAAAAGCAAATGGATTGATTAAAATGTCTCTGTATGACTAAAGATAATATTTAAATTTCATGAGGAAGTTGTAAATTATGATTGTGCTCAGATAAAAAAGGACCAAAAATCATACTTAAGACAAAGACATTACAAACCCATCAAGGGTGGATCAAGAGAGGGTCCCTTGGGGTCTTGCCCACTCTTCTAGGTACTCCGGAAATGTTAAACACGAATAAAACACATAATAATTAATCAGGCCTAAATCTCTAATAATATTCTATTATGCAACATAGAGCTAAAATGCACCAAATATGGCAGTTTTATGTCTGTTAGAGCAAAATATGTCTGTAAGAGAGAGGGAGGGGGCCTAGAGGATATCTCTAGAGCAACTTCGTGGACCCCATTTTTAAGAAATCCTGGATCTATCTTCCTGGATTTCCTCCTATCCGCTATTATAAATTCTGAACTCCACAAAAACAGACAATTTGTGAGTTCTGTAAGTACCTTAAACTCAACATCGCTATAGTTTTAATGTTTTCTTATAATTAGCAGTGACTAGAATAAAACTGCCGATCTCTTTTTGTTTTCTGCTAAGCTGTTACTACTGTAGCACAAAATTTATTGTCACGGGTTTTGTCTGTGAAGTAAATGTTCCTTTTACGTGCTTGCTTTAACTTATTTCAATCCAAGGCCACTAGATGGCAAGTCACATCATTCAAGTTTAGCTGCATTTCTACTGGATACCCAACCTGTTGTTTCGTTACGTTCCTGATAAATCTTCAGATAAGTGTGGCATCTGATGTGCAAAAGATAACTGGTAATCGTTGTAGATAAGCGAAAACGTGAGTTTGAAACAAAAGACAAAAGTTCAACGTGTAAATACTTTCTTAATATTTACAAATGGAAGTCTGTTTTCGATGAATAAGAAACCTAACTTCTTTTTATGAAATGAAAAATAGATACAAAGTTAACTAGAGAAAACAACTTTTACACTGATGAGAAACCAACAACAGCAAAAAATATAATGTTTTCGATTTTAATAACATCCATTAAATTCAAGTATACTAATACACATACAAAACGCTGATCCAGTAGAAGCATCTGCCGGACCTGTGCAGTGCCGGATAGGTGAAAATTTCGTGTTTATGCTCTAAAATACAGTTTTTCTACATCTTCGATAACAATAACACTTTTAAACTATAAT